GAAGCTGCAGATTGCAACCAACTGAACACCACTCGCGTCTGTATTTGACGACCTGGGAATGAGGAGAAACTACAGCAAAAAGACGATTTCAACTTTATTGTTTTCATGTTAGACAAAAGTATTTCAACCATAAATGAAGTTCACATTGAGCAAAGGTCAAATGGAAATGTGAATAAATATGTAAAAACATTTAAATAAATAATATATATAATATAGCAGTGAATTAAGGCCCTCAGTTATTCACATTTTACAGTATTTTTATGAGCTGGAAAACAACCAAAAATAATCCAAAACAACGAAAAACATCAGTGTAATATTTATATAAGATAATAAAGGAAAATACTTTATTGATCCCACACTTATAGATAATAAAATACACATTAAATAAGAATAAAAAACTATATCTCCACTATAGACCTTTTATATACAGATGTTTTGTTATAGAGATAATTTTAACTGCACAGATTATTGAATACACACACGAAATGTAGCATTGTAATAAATTATATATAAAAAACACATTATTTATCTTATTTTATTCAGTTATTTTATATTTCCTTGTAAATGTAATTGCTAAATTTATTGATTTTTTTGTTATTTTCACTTTATTTTTTGTATACCTTAATTTAACATTATTGTTTTACCTGTAAAATCTATTCTTTTGTCATTTTTATCTTTATATTTTATTTTTAAATCTCCTTTATTTGGTTTTTATTTCTTTCTGTCTCATCAGTCATCTGTGAAACACTGAACTGTATGAAAGGTGCTATAAAAATACAATTTGATTAATGGATTAAGGAAATATAGGACATATATAAAGATAATTGCCTATATTAGTATTTAGTATTCATTTAACGCGACTGTTATACCTGTAAAGTCATAATAATAATATATAATCTTACCTTAGCTAGAATTAGCTTTGTATATAGTATGTGTGTATATATTATGTATTATATAAAGAGTGTGTGTGCAGATATAAATAGAATAAGGATATAAAACCTAGGAGGAAGTTTGATGTGAATTTGAGTTCCAGATTGATGTTTTTAAAAGTTAAATTCCTTCTTTAGAAACATCAGAGTTTCACAAAATAGACCCTAAATAACATTTTGAATAAAAAGCTAGAACCAGCATGAATGTGGGTAAAGATGCAGATGTTTCCCCAAACAGCAGTGAACATTACTGGCTGCAACCAGGGATTATTTTAAATAAAATTACTGATTAATAAGCTGATTATTTTCTCCATTAATGGACTAAAATGTCAGAAAACAGAGAAAATCAGTTTCCAACAGCCCAACATGAGTCCAGTTTTATCCACTCAACAGTAAAACAGAATAATTAATCGTACATAAAGTTGGATTTATATATATATATGTTATTGATTATGGTTTGTTTATTATGGGCTGTTCTGTTCCTGTGATATAAAAGCTTGTGTCTGACCCGTGCTGTTATTATTGCGCCCTCTAGTGGCCGTCTCCTGTACAGCTTCATGTGCTCACAGCTTTTTAAATACATTTATTACTTTAATTCTTCCATATTGAGTCTTTTTCTGTTTATATTCAGCACCTGACAAGATGCTTCCTGGATTTTTAACATATTTTACTATCACATAACTAAAATCAGAGTCCACTGTAATAAAAATATAATATCTGGGAAGTTTCATTGTTACAAATATAACATGTCGACCCCAAAAACACCATTAATACTATTATATAACTTAGCACGATTATTCAATTACAGCCAGAATAATAATATTTAAAATGCTTATGTAAAATGTTTGCTTGTCTTTATGTTTTATGGAAGTTCAAGTGTGTTTGAGAAGTTTTTTAATGAACTTTAATTTAAAAAAATAAATGTGAAGTCAGAACTGTTGTTTGTTGTTGTTGTTTACAATAGTGAGCCAGAAAATAATCAATCTTTACTCACAATATCTTTTCTTACCCGCAGGTGTGCAAAAGTTACAGGTTATAAACTTATTTTTAAATGATGAGTTATTTTATCGCCTGACAAATAATCCACATTGTAATAACGTTATTACAAACCACAAACAAACATCACATCATGATTTTAATGGTTTTCTTCAGTGAAAATGAAAAATATGATGCAAAAATCATCATTGAATCATTTGACAATCTTAATATCTGTCTGTATAAAAACAATATGATCATTTATTTTACTGAATGTTGCAGTTATAAGTTGTACACTGTATATAAACAACTATTAACAGTTGTAACTTAAGAGAAAATGAGGAATTTAATTTATTTCACATATTATCAGTTGACTTTCTGTATTTGATTGAACAGATTTTAATTAGGGATGCAAGATAAAAATGATGAGTCAATAATAATTTATTAACTTTATCAGCTGAAAAATAAAGTTCACACTTTGCATCACTTATAAAAAAACCTCGACCACAACAAATGATTTTGTTTTCAGTGAAAATGAAAATAAATTGTGACTGTCACTAAATCTATCAAAATAAAAACTTATTATTTTTACTCTAATGTTGCACTGTAAACAAAAACAGTGTGATGCATCGAACTGAAGAAAATAACAAATATCTCCGAGCACTTTATGATGAAAATATAATAATAATACGCATTAAGATCATTTATTTTACTGTTTCCAGTTATAAAGTTGTACACTGTAAAAAATAACCATTAACAGTAAAATGCATCTTTAATTTATTTCATATTATTTGATTTTCTGTATTTAATTAAACAGATTTTAATATCAAATATATAAACATCTCTTTATAATAAAAGTACAAATCATAAACATACGTATATTTATGTGATTAATTCACACTTAATAGATCTTAAACTGTATTTCTGACACTTTCACAACAGAAGAATCTGACTGGTTGCAGATTAATTAGTTAATTAATTGATTACTGTAGGAAGTGACTGAGTTTCATACGTAGAATCACTTGTTTTATTGACACTTTGTGATCTTACATTGTTGTTTCACGGTTTCTGTGTGGAGGTCCGATTAAAGACCAAAGGATAACATTAACTAATAACTGATCTAATAAGAGTGAACGAATCACAGAAACTCATCACGACGAGTTTCATATCAGAAATATTCAGTTTGGGTGTCGAGCTGTTTCACACTGACAGACACTAACCTGCATATGTTCACATACCTATTAATTATTAGAATTATTACTATTAATAACATAATCAGCCTTATGGACAATATTCCAGCAGCTGATTGGTTGATTTGGACAATAGAGGAGGTTTTAGGGTTAATGAGACATTTTAAAACAGTCTTTTTAAAGCAGAAGTGGTCACGTTTAACCTCCCAGTGATTCTCATTCACTTTGAGGTTATTTATACGATTAATACAACAACAACATGCTGCACAGCTAAAAAGCAAGAAGAATAAACACCTTGAAATATTACGTCTAAGATTTCCAGATTCTAACACGCAGGTTTTGTGTATTTAACACGTAAATAACCTCAAAGCTGAAAGAAAAATGAACTGAAACGTGTCCACATCTGTTCAAAAAGCCAGTTTAAAGTTTGAAAAAGAGATTTTGCTTCCTCATTAACCCCTAAAACCACATCTATCATCATATATTGTTCAAATCAGCGCAGCAGCAGAAATAGAGCTGATTATTAATGTTAATAATGTTAATAATGTTAATAATGTTAATAATGTTAATAATATTAATAATGTTAATAATGTTAATGTTAATAACTTGCCGGTTAGAATCAAACTGAACCTCTGATACAAACATAAGTATATTATTTGTGCTCTTATTGTGAAAGGATGTGCAGTCCCATGTTAACGTGTCTTTGTACTTTGCCCCCCCGCCCGCTTCCTGTCCTTCATCAGCTCCTCGCGCGCCATCGGCTCGATGATGGCGCCCATCCGGGTGACCACCCTCGGCTTCACGACCTTCTTCACGGTCCGCTCCGTGTTCCAGGTGCGGCCCAGCGGCGTGCGGACGGCGCTCTCGAACTGCGCCGGGTTGGCGAAGGGGAACGGCAGCGAGTTCACCTGGTGGCCGCTGATGGCGCTGTTCCTCTTCTCCGAGATGATGACGCTGGGCAGGTGCTGGTCCTTCCGGGGCGGAGGCGGCGCCACTTTGAC